CAGCACAGGAACTTTCTTTCTGAGGAGCAAAACAAATGCACAAATGTACAGCAGTGAGTCAGGATTGTATGACAGTGAGTCAAGATTGTATAACTGATATATCTGGTAAATAGGCAGGTAGATCCTACAGATCTATCTAGTTGACAACAGAATGCTGGAGTCTGCTAAATAGGAGATGTAAGTGATGTACTGCACAGTGATATAATGATATTTCCTAGATGATGTCGCAGAGATGCAATGATGTTTGCTAGATGATGTCACAGGGATATCATGATGTTTGTTAGATGATGTAACAGTGATGTAACGATGTTGTTAGATGATGTCAGTACATCCCAGAACTGTCACAGAGAACTTCTACACAATCAAGTCCATATTTTGAGAACATTACTTTAGTTGAGATTAACAAACTTACCTGGCAACGAAATGCTCAAAGCTTGACCGACTGCTCATGCTAGAGTTAATCCCAGTGTCGCCAGCCTCCGACTCACTGTAGAGCACAGACATGTCAATGAAGGAGAGAATTGTCTTCATTATCATTTCATATTCTGAGATTCAACAGATAACATTTTAAAAATGACCAAGTTCTATATATGAAATGCGATCTGTCATTTTTGTTGGATAAAACAAGGAGTACATTCTCTAACCTGACACACCTACATCGCTCTGTGTTTGTACGTGACAAATTTTGTATTCTAATTTCTATTGTTTTCTATAGTTTGTTTTCTGACTTTAACTTTTTTTTTTCATATCTATATTGTATTCTGACTCCAACTTTTTGATATAGTTTTTTTTCCCCTACAACATTTTTTATATACAAGTAGTTTTTTTTTAACAAAACTCTTTTTGTCTCCTAATAATAAATAATAAAAAAAAATAATTATGAAACAAATTGCTTTCATGTATACACAGACATGATGCTAGAAAGTGATTAAAAACATGTACATTTGAGAAGACAAATACTATATGGAAACGTTGTCTTAGGAGAAATATTTCATCATTGTTAATAAAAGATAAAACATACTGAAGAGATTAAAAAGAAGATAACCCCCCTATTCCCCCCCCCCCCCCCCCCCCCCATAAAAAATAGATAGAAGTGTTACAAGAATATAAAATAGATAGATGTCACAATGACATAAAACAGACATAAGTTTTCCAAAAAATGTAAAATAGATAGAATTGTATAAAACAGAAAGAAGTATTACAAAAATATAAAATATATGGAAGTTTTACACACACAAAAATTAAAAAAATAAAGACAAAAGATAAAATAGATAGAGGTGTTACAAGAAAATAAAAAAGATAGAGGTGTTACAAGATAAAACATATAGAAGTATTAGTTAGTTAGTTAGTCTTTCCTCTTGTGTCGAATGCGGCACATAGGGCAGAGGTCATGACTCTCCATGCATGGCGGTTCGTTGCAATCTGTTGTAGGTCTTGAATGTTTGAGTGGCCCATGAGTGAGCTTTCCCTGATGATAGTTCTACGTAGGGTTTCCCTTGGTCTTCCCACGAGATCTTTTCCCTGTGGTGTCCAAATGAGGGGCTTGGTAAGGAAGTCTTGATTTATCCATTCTAAGGGCCGACATAGTTCCAGCGGCGTTTTTCGTATAAAATTAGACACATACTCTTGCCTGGATTCTTGCCTTATTTTGTGTATTGGTTCGGAAATCTGACCATTTAAAAATTTAGTATTCTTCTAAGGCATTTATTTTCAAAACTGTCTAATTTTGTGTCTAGCGTTTTCGTTGATTTCCAGCTCTCGCATCCATAGGTTAGTACTGGAATCACACAAGAATTGAAGATCTTGAGTTTTGTAGAAGTATTACAAGAAGCTAAAACAGATAGAAGTTTTACGAGAAGATAAAATAGATAGAAGTTTTACAAAAAGATAAAATAAATAGAAATGTAACTAGAAAACAATTATTTAGAAATGTTTGAAGAAGTGAAATTAGAAAAAAGTGTTACAAGAAGATAAAGCTGATGGATGTTTTACAAGAAGATAGAACAGCACTCTGGATGTCCCAGACATGCTCCATCCCCTGCTTGTGACTGTTGTCTGAAGTAAACACAAAATAGAGAATGGAATAGAGGATGAAAGTGGTCATACTCAATCAATGATAACAGGACAATAAAATAAAATGTCATCATGAGAACAACAGAGGATTTAATTTCATATTGCAGTCAACTGAATTTTTAAATCCAAGGCTTCTGGCGAGGATATAATGATTATTAATTACCTGAAATGTTCCTTCCGTAATTTGCTGTGAGGATATTTTAATATCCAATGATCTCCCTGATCAAGTTCCTCCTGAATTGTCCTGGCCATTTGTCCAGCCTCACTTTTGGAGTAGAGTGATCTTCTCTTGTTCTCAAATGCCTGGCTCCTCTCTTTGTCATCAGGTGACAGACTTGTCACAGGTGAGTGCCATCTAGAAGTCACATTCTTGGAATTTCTCCCCTCAGACGTAGACACGGGTGTGGATTTGTAGACGTTCGACTTTCTGAAAAATTTACAGACAAAAAGGAAATGACCTTAAAATTTGAACTAAAAAATAAGCATTGGAAATACATCTTTCAAAAAAATTATTCACATAATATACGGAGACGACATCAAAATGACATGGTTTGCTGTATAATTACCCAGCACAGTCGCAACTACAAACCTCTTTTAACTACAGGGAAACACAGAAAATGCATTGGTACAGATATGTAATAAGAACTAACAGCCTTTCTTAAAAACAATACTGCAGGGCTCAGTAGAGGAGAAGAGCGGAAGAGGCAGACCAAGAAAGAACTGGATACAGAACTTAACTGGCTGGACAAGCCTCAGGCATGCAACTACGATGTCCATAACATCTGACTGTCAAAAGTATTGGAGCTGATCAGACAGTCAACAGAAACTGGTGACCCACCAACAAGGAGTATTATGGGATGATGATGATGATTATGAGGGGAGGAGCCACATGGTCACGTAAACAATTCTGTCAAATGTTGTGTCTTCATACTGTCAGATGTTGTGTCTACATACTGCCAGATGTTGTGTCTACATACTGTCAGATTTTGTGTCTACATGCTGTCAGATGTTGTGTCTACATGCTGTCAGATGTTGTGTCTACATACTGTCAGATGTTGTGTCTACATACTGTCAGATGTTGTGTCTACATACTGTCAGATGTTGTCTACATACTGTCAGATGTTGTATCTACATACTGTCAGATGTTGTATCTACATACTGTCAGATGTTGTATCTACATACTGTCAGATGTTGTGTCAACATGCTGTCAAATGTTGTGTCTACATGCTGTCAGATGTTGTGTCTACATGCTGTCAGATGTTGTGTCTACGTGCTGTCAGATGTTGTGTCTACATGCTGTCAGATGTTGTGTCTACATACTGTCAGATGTTGTGTCTACATACTGTCAGATGTTGTCTACATACTGTCAGATGTTGTATCTACATACTGTCAGATGTTGTGTCAACATGCTGTCAAATGTTGTGTCTACATGCTATCAGATGTTGTGTCTACATGCTGTCAGATGTTGTGTCTACATACTGTCAGATGTTGTGTCTACATACTGTCAGATGTTGTGTCTACATACTGTCAGATGTTGTGTCTACATACTGTCAGATGTTGTGTCTACATACTGTCAGATGTTGTGTCTACATACTGTCAAATGTTGTGTCTACATACTGTCAGATGTTGTGTCTACATTATTTCAAAAACAGTCAAGTAAAGTTCTCTTTGACAGATCTTCTCTTATAGTGGAGATCGTTCTATACCTTTATTTTATAGACCACAATTGGCACTCTGTGGCTGATGTGGTCAGCATCATGCCGGTTGCTTTTACCTCTCAGAATTGGTACCCATTCATGGCTGGGTCAAATGAGTGGTCAAGGAACCCATTTTTTGGATCCATTTGGAGTGGCTAGCTGATACATCACAGCAGCTGTGGGCACAAATAATACCTCTACACACAACTATCATGTCTGATGATACCTCTACACACAACTATCATGTCTGATGATAATAGTTTTGAATGCAAGGTTTTCAGTTTTGGGTATATGGAGTGCTCTCCCTTAAACAAGTAGCTCTTCTATTTGTGAGATCTGTTTTGTTGTTGTTTTTTGTTGTTGACAATATGCATTTATTACATTTAACACAAATACTGCCAATTATAAACTTCATAGTATTTAACACACTATTTAACATACCTTCCTTCCTTCTCTACATCCCCTCCCTCCCCATAAAACCCTCCCCAAACCTGGAGACAGTATTTCCTTGGAAACTGTCAACAATCTGCTGATGATTCTGCCACATGAATGAAAACAAATAACTGGCAGTTGTAAAAACAGAAATGAGACTAACCTGAGTGAAAAATCTGCATGATCATATTCAGCATAAGAAGGACTTTTGCTCTTGTCTAATGTCACTAGTCTTTCTCTTCTGCTGCCATTTGTTGTTTGCAGGTGATTCTTGTACTGAGATGGTGTAGCCATGGAATGTCCAGGTGAATGAAGTGACCTGTTTAGACCGTGCTGAACACAGCTTGGGCTGAAGTTGCAAGAAGTTTTAAGGCTGCCAGCTTGCTCATGTCTTGGAGTATAGGAAACAGGCACCACAGATCTGTACCTGCCTGGAGACCTTGAATGATCTAGCCTACCTGGAGAAGATTTGCTACCACAGTCTGTGTGTACACAGTGCTTCATCTCCTGAATATCTGGGTCAATAACTGGTTGATCCATGGATGGCGGATGAGAGTATCCAGGTAGAGATGATGACCGACACTGATAGCTGCTGTCGTACCTGTGTCCCTTTGGGTGTGGGGAAGTCTCTCTCTCTAGATAAGGTCTCTGGAAGTGCTGCCTGCCTGAATCATGGGCTGTGGGGCTGTTGGGAGACTTGGACAGTCTTCTAGGGAGTCGACCACGTGAAGGGCAAGGGTTCCAGCCTCTGCTGACTCCAGAGCTCTCATCAGAATGAGAGACTCCAGCTCTCTGTGCTTCACTTGCCTGATCCTGCTCCTTCTCCCATTCATCCTCAGAGCCCTTTTCCTGAAAGTTGTTGATAATCTCTCTGATTTTGTTTCTTTGCTCATGATCTTTAAATGTTGCCAGTTCCTCAAACAATTCCTGTCGCTCCTGTCTCGTCTGAGCCAGACATTTCCGCAGTCCATCCATGGTGTCTACAGTTTTGGTCTGTTTGTGTGTCAGCAGTTCTACCTCCTGGGGGTTACAAAACACATGGAATTAGTCAATGACCAAACATTTTCTGAGAATATACATCACAACATATCTAGTATATATTTATTTGCCATATAATCACAGTGTTTACTACAGATGAAAAGTTGGGGATTAAACTTGAGGCAAGAGGTTGGGGTTTAGACTATAGGTGATAGGTTGGTGTTGAGACAACAGGCAAGATGTTGGTGTTGAGACAACAGCAGAGAAGTTGGTGTTGAGACTACAGGTGAGAGGTTGGGGTTGAAAATACAGATAAGAGTTGGTGTTGAGACAACATGAGAGAGGTTGGTGTTAAGACTACAGGTGAGAGGTTGGAGATGAGTTTATGGGTGAGAGGTTGGTGTTAAGACTGTAAGTGAAAGGTTTTGGTTGAGATTAGAGGTGAGAGGTTGGGGTTGAGACTACAGGTGACAGGTTGGTGTTGAGACAGCATGTGAGAGGTTGGCTTTGAGACAACATGTGAGAGGTTGGTGTTAAGACTACAGGTGAGAGGTTGGAGATGAGTCTACGGGTAAGAGGTTTGTGTTAAGACTGCAAGTGAAAGGCTGGGGTTCAGCCAACATTTGAGAGGTTGGTGTTGAGACTACAGATAAGAGGTTGGGGTTGATACTACAGGTGAGAGGTTGGAGTTGAGACTACAGGTGAGAGGTTGGGGTTGAGACTACAGTTGAGAGGTTGGTTTTGAGACTACAGGTGAAAGTTTGGGGTTGAGACTACAGGTGAAAGTTTGGGGTTCAGACTACAGGGAAAAGGTTGGGGTTGAGACTAGAGGTGAGAGGTTGGTGTTGAGACTACAGATGAGATGTTGTAGTTGATAATATATGGTATGGTATCATCATCATCATGTACCTTGCAACTGGCATAGGTGCTGATGTGTCTCCACCAATCACGATATCTGTTTGCCTGGAACAGCTCTCTTGATGATATCCTTCCCTGCCATCACTTCAGCCCATCCAGAATCATCTGTTATGGTTTGCCTCTACCCCATTTTTCACTGATCTCCAGTTGTCACAATGTTCTCCAATGTCTCTCTTCTCATTATGTGGCCAAAGAACAGTGTTTGTCTCTTTCTTATTGTTGTATATAAAGATCTACTTTCATAAGCTTCTTTCAAACAATCGTTGTTAGTTACTCTAGTTGTCTAAGGTATTTGTAGCATTCATCTCAGAAACCACATCTCTGTTGCTTCCAAATTTCACTTAATTTGTTCACTGACATTGCAAGATTCTCTGCCATACAACAGAATAGGTTCTATGTAACATTTTAGCACCTCCTTTCTGACATTAAATGGCATAAGATATTTTTCATTTTCTGAAATGCAGCTTTCCCTTGACCTTTTATGCTTTTAATCTCTGTCACACATTTTCCATTTGATGATATAATTGTTCCCAGATATTTGGATTTATTGACATTACCAGTGTTTCACCTCTTTCATTTCTTAATCCTAAACAATTTTCCCGAACTATATCTTCCGTTCTCTCTATCCCAGCTCTTGCATTAAAATCTCCCGATATTATTTTAATTTCTTGTGATTTTGTTTGGGCAATTGCCAAATCTAAATTTTCTTACAGTTTGTATATTTCCTTTTCACTGCTAACTGATGTTGGGGCACACACTTGAAATATGTCTATATTTATTGGTTTGCCTCTGATTTTAAAATTTATAACATCTTATATACTTTTGCTTTTGCTGTTTTCTAATAAAATATTATCCGCAACCCATTTTCATGTTTGTCACTTCCTGAATACATTATTGTGTACTTGTCTGATCTTTCCAGTACCCTTCCATCTCATTTAAATCATTCCTAGGATGTTTATTTTCATACATTCCATTTCTTTTATAACATTTTCTGTCTTTCACAAAACTGCCACGTTGCTAGTTTAACACTTTTAATTCTATTAATATTTTTAAAATTGCCATCAGTAACCTGATGACAATCTGGGATCACCAGTGACTCGTGACTGTCCTACCAGACAAGGCTGGCCTTAGACTTCCATTAACATCATTTGTGTGATTCAGTCTGTGTTTCTTCATGAGATATCTTAGGAATATAATGTGGTGGTTTCCCATTGTCTTCCACATCCATATGGGGTATTTAAACCTGCACCTTTGACAGTAATTTCCACTGTCAGGACAAGTGGGTTACCTTCTCTGACCAGCTATGAGTTATCCACTTATTCCGGTGGATACTCGGCCCCTATATCTGCGTTAGTCAAACCGTGGTGTGTTTCCCACTCTCCACCACTTGGAGGTGCAATTTAGAATTTTCTCGTTCACCAAATTTGAGACCAGGATGACATTTCTCAAACTCTGTAGGTACCTTCTGGAGGGTGGTAGTATGGAGGGTGGTAATATGGAGGGTAGTAGTATGGAGGGTGGTAGTATGGAGGGTGGTAGTATGGAGGGTGGTAGTATGGAGGGTGTGGTATGAGAGGTTGCAATTGAAAATCTGTGATATCTCTGTGAGATAATCATTTTCTTATTCTATTGGAAATAAGCCAGACCTCTAAGGACACCTACCTCTCTAAAGGCACATACCTCTCTGAAGGTGCATACCTCTCTAAGAGCACATACTTCTCTAAGGGCGACACCTCTCTGAGGGCACATACCTCTCTGAGGGCACCTACCTCTGAGGACACCTACCTCTCTGAGGGCACCTACCTCTCTGAGGGCACCTACCTCTCTGAGGTCACCTACCTCTCTGAGGTCACCTACCTCTCTGGGGGCACCTACCTCTCTGGGGCACCTACCTCTCTGAGTGCACCTCCCTCTCTGAGGGCACCTACTTCTCTGAGGGCACCTACCTCTCTGAGGGCACCTGCCTCTCTGAGGGCACCTACCTCTCTGATGGCACCTACCTCTCTGAGAGTACCTACCTCTCTGAGGGCACCTACCTCTCTAAGGGCTCATACCTCTCTGAGGCCACCTACCTTTCTAAAGGCACATGCATCTCTGAAGGCACATACATCTCTAAGGGCACCTACCTCTCTAAGGGCCCATACCTCTCTGAGACCAGCTACCTTTCTAAAAGCACATACATCTCTGAAGACACATACATCTCTGAGGGCACCTACCTCTCTAAAGGCACATAACTCTCTGAGGGCACCTACCTCTCTAAAGGCACATAACTCTCTGAGGGCACCTACCTCTCTAAGGGCATATACCTCTGAGGGCACCTACCTCTCTGAGGGAACCAACCTCTCTGAGGGAACCAACCTCTCTGAGGAAACCAACCTCTCTGACGGCACATACCTCTCTAAGGACACACACCTCTCTGAAGACATATAACCCTCTGATAGCACCTACCTCTCTGAGATCACTATTGTCCTGTTCTACACATCTAAGTCTGGACTCAAGCTTCCAGTTTTCAGCTTTTAGATCATCAATTTGAGTTTGGCTCTTGGTTACTGAATCCTCTAGCAACACGGCAGTGTGGTGTAGTTGCTGCTGCAGCTGTTGGGTCTGGGTCTCCATCTGTTGAGAAAGCCCTCATCATGTGAGCATGCTGGACAGCAGATCTCAGTCATGAACATTCCATAATACAGACACACAACACAACAATTGAACATCTGATGATAAAGATCTTAATAACCAACAGATTTAAAAAATCTCAATAAATCTAGTATAAAATATTCAAATTATTTAACATCTGGTATAAGAGATCAGATTTTTTTTTTAAATCGTCTGATATAAGAGATCCTAATAATGAACATCATAAACAAGAGATCCCAATGAATTAACATCTGAAATAAGAGACCCCAACAAATGAACATCTGATATAAGAGATACCAACAAATGAATATCTGATATAACAGATACCAACAAATGAACATCTGATATACCAAACTTCAATAAATGAACATCTGATAAGACAGATACCAATAAATGAACATCTGATATAAGAGATCCCAACAAATGAACATCTGATATAAGAGATCCAAAAAAATGAATATCTGATATAAGAGATCCCAAAAAAATGAACATCTGATATAAGAGATCCCAATAAATGAACATCAGATATAATAGATCCCAAAAAATGAACACCTGATATAAGAGATCCCAATAAATGAACATCAGATATAACAGATCCCAACAAATGAACATCTGATATAACAGACCTCAACAAATGAACATCTGATATAGCAGACCTTAACAAATGAACATCTGATATAAGAGATACCAACAAATGAATATCTGATATAACAGATACCAACAAATGAACATCTGATATACCAAACTTCAATAAATGAACATCTGATAAGACAGATACCAATAAATGAACATCTGATATAAGAGATCCCAACAAATGAACATCTGATATAAGAGATCCAAAAAAATGAATATCTGATATAAGAGATCCCAAAAAAATGAACATCTGATATAAGAGATCCCAATAAATGAACATCAGATATAATAGATCCCAAAAAATGAACACCTGATATAAGAGATCCCAATAAATGAACATCAGATATAACAGATCCCAACAAATGAACATCTGATATAACAGACCTCAACAAATGAACATCTGATATAGCAGACCTTAACAAATGAACATCTGATATAAGAGATCCTATTAAAAAAAACACCTGATAAAATAAATCACACAAAAAGAATACCTGTTAAAGGAAATCCACAAAATGAACTCCTGATTTAATATATCCAAATAAATAAACATATCATATAAGGGATCCTAATAAATGAACCTCTGATATAAGAGATCCTAATATATAAACATCTGATAAAAGAGTTTCCAATAAATGAACATCTGATATAACAGACCTCAACAAATGAACATCTGATATAACAGACCTTAACAAATGAACATCTGATATCAGAGATCCTATTAAAAGAACACCTGATAAAATAAATCACACAAAAAGAATACCTGTTAAAGGAAATCCAAAAAATGAACTCTTGATTTAATATATCTAAATAAATAAACATTTCATATAAGAGATCCTGATAAATGAACCTCTGATATAAGAGATCCCAATATATAAACATCTGATAAAAGAGTTTCCAATAAATGAACATCTGATATAAGAGATCCCAGTACATGATCATTTGAAATAACAAATCCCAGTTCATGAATGTATGATTTAACAGACCCCAATAAATTATTACCTGAAATGGCAGATAACAAATAATGAAAATCTTATAAAACAGATCCCAAAAAATTAATATCTGTTTTGGCAGATCCCAATAAATGAACGTCTGATACAAGAGATCCCAACACATGAACATCTGCTATAAGAGACCTTAAAAAGTAATTATTAAATAAACTTCTGTCACAAACATATAACAGGAGGCCAGTGACCTTGATAAAGGCTATCATGCAGTGGAAATCTTTCTGTGTGACTTGACAGTTTTATCTGGATGCTAGTGAGCACCATAAGTGGGATTACAACAGGAAATCTCAACAACAGGAGAGAGATCTCAACAACAGGAGATCTCAATAACAGGAGAGAGATCTCAACAACAAGAGATCTCAACAACAAGAGATCTCAACAACAGGAGATCTCATCTCAACAACAGGAGATCTCAACAACAGGAGATCTCATCTCAAAAACAGGGGATCTCAACAACAGGAGATCTCATCTCAACAACAGGAGATCTCATCTCAACAACAGGAGATCTCATCTCAACAACAGGAGATCTCATTTCAACAACAAGAGATCTCAACAACAGGAGATCATCTCAACAACAGGAGATCTCAACAACAGGAGATCTCATTTCAACAACAGGAGATCTCAACAACAGGAGATCATCTCAACAACAGGAGATCTCAACAACAGGAGATCTCATTTCAACAACAGGAGATCTCAACAACAGGAGATCTCAACAACAGGAGATCTCAACAACAGGAGATCTCAATAACTAGAGATCTCATCTCAACAACAAGAGATCTCATCTCAACAACAAGAGATCTCAACAAGAGGTCTCAACAAATGAACAATTAAATGGAATCAAATCCAAGCCAGATATTACATTACTAGAGTCAGGCTGGTGTCAATTAGTTTCAGAAATAAAATGTATCTTTAAAGAAAGAGACAAAACAATTACCTGATAAATGTCAGTTAATTCTCACCTGTAGAATGCTGCCCTCTAAATATCAACTATAGAATGCTGCCTTCTAATTCTCACCTGAAGAATTATGCCTTCTAATACTTACCTGAAGAAAGCTGTCCTTTAATTCTCATCTGAAGAATGCTGCCCTCTAATTCTCACCTGCAGAATTATGCCCTCTAATACTAACCTGAAGAATGCTGCCCTCTAAATATCCCCTATAGAATGATGCTCTCTAATTCTCACCTGCAGAATACTGTCCTCTAATTCAGCATTCCTACTTCTGTGTACTTGGCCCTTTCTCTGTTCCTCCTTGAGCATGACACGGAGCTGCATGTTTTCCAGCTGAGACTGTGCCAGATGCTGCCTGCAGTCCTCCAGCACGCCGTCGGTGTGCCTTAGTTTGTCGTGGACTTCCAGACGGGCACTGCTCAGTTTCGCTTGCAGGATATCATTTTCTGAGAGCACACAAGCCACTGCTTGTTTTAGTTCAATCACCTCCAGCTTGGAGAAGTTATGGCGAGATATTAGCTGTTTCCATTTCAGAACATTTCTTGGTTCAAAACCTCTGACAAGGTCTCCACTGTGGACATCAGACTTTACTGTATGAGTGGTCTGGTTGAGGTCCACATTTAGTCTACCAGACTGCCTAAGAACATTTAATAAGTTAGGGTCAGATGCCAGATTTTTATCCAGGCCAGATCTGGACAGTGGCAAGCCAAGATTAGCAACATGGCCACTTAGTGTTGTCCCAGTTTCAACTGTCCTTGGTCGTACAGCTTTCCTAGATAAAGATCGAGTTGCTGGAGAACGTCGACTCAATTTTAAGAGTGGACAAGACAGTGCCCGCTCATGGCCTGTGCTAGCTGGAGTGGATATTTGCTCTGAAAGTAGTCTGAGCTTTCTGTTTTCTTGGTCTCTCCTGTACGTGGGTGAGATAACATCCTGGTCTCTCCTGTACGTGGGTGAGATAACATCCTGGTCTCTCCTGTACGTGGGTGAGATAACATCCTGGTCTCTCCTGTACGTGGGTGAGATAACATCCTGGTCTCTCCTGTATATGGGTGAGATTACATCATGGTCTCTCCTGTACGTGGGTGAGATTACATCCTGGTCTCTCCTGTACGTGGGTGAGATAACATCCTGGTCTCTCCTGTACGTGGGTGAGATTACATCCGGGTCTCTCCGGTACATGGGTGAGATTACTGATCTTGTTCTGCCTCTGACAGATTCAGGCTGAGTCTCTGTAGCAAAACTTGGTCTGTAGTCATCCCCCTCTAGCAGATCAACCTTCTGTCTCAAGATTTCTATCTCTGCCAACAAGCCATCAATAATTCCAGGCTGGGTGTCTGTTCCACTGCCTCTATCAGATCCATCCTCACATCCAGGTCTTCTTGCCTGCTCCCAGGCCTCCCTCCGTGGCACTCTACTAGCTCCCCCACTCCTGAGAGCACTGTCCCTTCTGTCTACTAAGTTATCCACATAGTAATCTGTCATGTGTGGATAAGAGGACATGTAACTATTCTGTGAGTTTTCTGCAAGACTCACACCTGGGTGTACAGCATGATTCTTTGAAGATCTACCATCTGTGACAGTTACTCTCAGACTGATGTCATGACCTGCTTGTTGGGATGTTATCTCTGCAAGCTGGGCTAAGACTTCTGGTGAGACCTCTGAGGAAATGCTGACTTGGATGTTTCTGTCAGCTGATTCCCTGGCATCCACTGTTTGTGGAGATAATGACCTGCACTTTGCTGGCCCAGAGAATTCAGGATGAGGTTTCCATGACCGCTCTGCTGAACGTCTTGCTGTAGAATGTGCATGTGAGACAACAGCCTGTCTCTGTGGAGACAGGGAGTGATGTCTGTGGGATGTTGTCAAGACTGGAGCACCATAAGTAGGATCACTACGGACAGGAGCTCTAGATGATAACCTCTGATAACCAGGGGTTTGATGTTCTTGCACATACCTGTCTTGTTGGAACAGAACCCTGGAACTTGAAGTCAGAGGCTCTGACCTGAATCTCTTGTTTGGAATAGTTTGTTCATTCATTTCTTGTAAAAACTGAGAATTATCTTTGTTTGATGTGAGTGAAGGTGATCTGGCCAGGGTGTTGCCTCTAACTGGATGTGTTTCACTGACACCTGGGACTTCTGGTTCACCTGTAAACACAGAGACCAGGTGTGTTTCATTATGTAGCCTTCTGTGGATGTCTCCAACATCTACTTCAGCAGGGATGTTCCTGTCATTAGATGTTGTCTCACCAGTAGTCTGTGTCTGACTGGTGTGTGAGGACTGAATTGGACTATGTGGGGAACTTCCATCAACAGCTGACAATACATGGCTGGATCTGCTTCTTCGCGATAATGGGTAGCCATTTTCCAACCTGCTTGTGGTAAAACTACTGTAGCCCTCAGCATCTAGAGACTTTGATCTGCCAGCAAGACTGATTCTGTAATGACTAATCAAGGGGGAAACTGGTGCCCCAACGTCATCTATCACAGACACTGCTGACAAGCGATCGATGGAATCTCTCCACTGTCTGATGTAATCTCTGGGCCTTTTGATTCTGATGTCCTCCTCTCTTGGCTTCTGCTTGTACCTGTGGTCCAGTATTCTTTCACTCTGCTTTACTACACAAGATGGGTTGAATTCATTGTGTCCTCTGCTGTGAGCGATGTCCAGGCCACTTTTGCTATTGTTGTGTGTTGTGTTATGCTGAATGCTGACACTAATTGAATTTCCATGTGCCTTTACTGCCTGCGATGTACCCTGCTTCAGAGCTGAATGATCCCCAGAGACATGCTTGGGGCTCTTGGACAATTGAGGAATTGTATCCTGTTCTCCCTGGCTCCTCATCTGGTCCTCCCCATCCCTGCTCACTGCAATTTCAGGCAAAAGCTCCATGAGCCTGCCTTCGGTAATCAGAGATGAAGACCCATCACCTACTTGGATCTGTTCAGGTAAGAAATCTACCTGTGAGGGTAACTGTTCTAAAACCTGATGCTCTCTTGTGTGCTGCCGTGAAAGCACATTTCCAGGAGTCGCAGAAGATAAAATGAGATGGCCGAAATCTGCAGAAGCAGTATCTGACCTTCCTAAATCTGCAGAAGCAGTATCTGATCTTCTTAAATCTGCAGAAGCAGTATCTAACCTTCTTAAATCTGCAGAAGTGATACTTGATCTCCCTAAATCTACAGGAGATGTCCTATGAAGTTCTTCGGCAGAAACCAGTGAGGTAAGTCTCTGACCATCTCTAGTAGGTGGCTGATCTTGTACTGGTGAGGTAAGTCTCTGACCATCCCCTGTAGGTGGCTGATCTTGTACTGGTGAGGTAAGTCTCTGACCATCCCTTGTAGGTATCTGACTCTTTGATTTCACTGATGACATCTGCGGATGTTGTCAATAAATAAGTACATGCTTAAAAAACCTCTGAGGCTTGTAGAGACAAGAAGAATCTTGGTTGATCTTGAAAAAAAAAAAGAACCGTATTAAAAATTAAAAGCAAAGTCTAAAAGGGAATGCTATCCAAAGGAAGGGGAGAGACAATAAAGGCTAAGATAAATCTACTACTTGAACCTATCTCTACCCCAAGCCTATAAGAGCTGCAACAAATAATGTCGTAGCGAGTTGAAGCCAAAACCCACATCCAAGCTGCTTTAGTAACAAGAAAATACATTGTTAGGCAAAGACTTAAACGTATGGTGTCCTAGCCCTGACAGGGTATGTTCTGTATGAAATCTACTTAGCAGTGACAATAAAACTAGTTGCACTAACTATAAGTCCTATTTTCAAATCAAACAAATGGATACAACCATCACATTCAACATCTGTTTATTTTCCTGAACACAAAACTAACATGCTTCACCGATAACAATAAATTAACAATCAACAGACCATGTGCTAATCACTCCAGCTAACTAAGAAGAGAGTTCATTTTCAGCAACCTGCAAATAAAAATCTCAGAGCGAGGATGCAAATGGATATCTAGGTGTAACACAATCTAACTACTGACACTCAGATTTTACACAGTCTAACTACTGAATGTACCACCATCATGAAACCAGTGAGCCAATCCATTTCTATCCACTCAGTCCCCTGAACCCATATTGCACTAAGACTTGTGTGGTACCGCAACTGATTGATGGGACTACCTGTCCCTAGGATAACTTGTTGGACCAAAGAGCAAAAAGCCAAGAGAGGGCCTTTTCCTGCTGCACTGGGCATTTTATAACCTTTTAAAACCACCGTCACTTGCAGGCCACTTCTGGAAAGTTCTGCTTTGCAAAATTGCCAGTTTCAGATCACAAATGCAGCCAAACCAAAATTATTAACAGGCTAAATAACTATTTATCAGCCTGTTACAGAACAACTGTTACATATCTGAGGCTTCTACAGAAAAGAAGAATGTTGGTACACAGTTGAGGTTTATTGGATCAGTCAATATTAAAAAAAAAAATCACTGACAGGTGGTACAGGAGAGTAAGAAACAAACAGTGGAACAAAGTTGATGTTAAAGAACACAGCAGATAACAGGCAGTAACAAATGTTTTAAGTAGCAAATTTTGTCGTGTGACTTAACATTCTGTATGATTATATCTGTTAGTGTGACTTATATCATTCTGTATGATTGTGTCTGTTGTTGTGTGACTTATCTCATTCTCTATGGTTGTGTCTGTTGTGTGACTTATATCATTCTGTATGATTGTGTCTGTTGTTGTGTGACTTATATTATTCTCTATGGTTGTGTCTGTTGTGTGACTTATATCATTTTGTATGATTGTGTCTATTTTTGTGGGATTTACATCATTCTGTAGGAATGTGTCTATTGTTGTGTGACTTTTATCACTTTGTAAGATTGTGTCTGTTGTTGTGTGACTTACATCATTTTGTAACATTGTGTCTGTTGTTGTGTGACTTATATCATTCTCTATGATTGTGTCTGTTGTTGTGGGACTTATATCATTCTGTATAGTTGTTTCTGTTGTGTGACTTATATCATTCTGTATGGTTGTGTCTGTTGATTTGTGGCATACATTATTCTGTATGATTGTGTCTATTTTTGTGTGATTTACATCATTCTGTAGGAATATGTCTATTGTTGTGTGACTTACATCATTTTGTATGATTGTGTCTGTTGTTGTGGGACTTATATCAGCTGCTTGACTTATGTAATTTTGCATAACTGTATTAGCTGTTGTGCTGTTGTATGACTTATGTCATTCTGCATGATTGTTTTTTGTCTTTGATGCATGTCAGAATGGCATGTCAAAGTGTTAGTTACAAGTGAAAAATGTCAAATGTCAATGAGATAGTCGAACTTTAGCTCACCCTCCTTTTTAACAGAGACAGAAAGATCATTAACCCGTTCTCATCGACTGTTCCTTCAATAATATCATTGGACCTGGAGGGAGAGATATAAACATGAGACAGTGTCAACAAGGTCATGTCACAAACTGTCGGTGTCATGGATACAAATGTGACATTTATGTCGATTTTATTTTTAAATTTGTACTTCATCAGCAGATGAGGTTTCCTCAGAAACAAAACATGCTATTGATAGAAACAACATAAACTCCTCCCTAGTGTCTAATCTCCCCCCCCCCCTTCCCACCCCCCCACTCCCCCCCACAGTCACCTCGCTGGGACTGCCAAAACTTCTCTGAGCTGTCCTATTCCCCACAACAGTCACCTCCCCAGGACTGCTCAAACTTCTCTGAGCTGTCCTAATCCCCTCCACAGTCACCTCCCTGGGACTGCCCAAACTTGTCTGAGCTGTCCTAACATGCTTGAAGTCAATTTATGAAGTCCTCTTTGGAAATGAGAAGTAGTGCTTAGCTGTTATGTTCCCTACAATGTCTTTTTGTGACACACACTATGTCTCTTTCAGTGGCATTCTCAGCCGCAGAAACAGCCAATACTGAATCAGTTTAAACAGCTTACTTAATTTAACTTATGCTCAAAGCAGTCGCTAAATGTGTGTTGAACTTCTTAATGGTTTAGTATCTTGATATCTGCAAACTTCTTGCGAAATTTGGTGCAACACTGCACCTCAAACAGTGCAATACTGCACCTCAAACACTGCACCTCAAACACTGCACCTCAAACACTGCATCTCAATTAGTGCAAAACTGCACCTCAAACACTGCACCTCAAATACTGCACCTCAAATACTGCACCTCAAATACTGCACCTCATATACTGCACCTCAAATACTGCACCTCAAATACTGCACCTCAAATACTGCACCTCAAATACTGCACCTCAAACACTGCACCTCAAATAATGCACCTCAAACAATGCAATACTGCACCTCAAACACTGCACCTCAAATACTGCACCTCAAACAGTGCAATACTGCACCTCAAACAGTGCAATAATGCACCTCAAACAGTGCAATACTGTACCTCAAACAGTGCAATACTGTACCTCCAACAGTGCAATACTGTACCTCACATACTGCAACACTGCACCTAAAACAGTGCAACACTGCACCTCAAATACTGCACCTCAAACAGTGCAATACTGCACCTCAAACAGTGCAATACTGTACCTCAAACAGTGCAATACTGTACCTCACATACTGCAACATTGCACCTCAAACTGTGTAATACTGCACCTAAAACAATGCAATACTTTACCTCAAATACTGCAACTTCACCTCAAACAGTGCAATACTGTACCTCAAACACTGCAACACTGCACCTCAAACAGTGCAATAGTGTGCCTCAAATACTGCAACACTGCACCTCAAACAGTGCAAAACTGCACCTCAAACAGTGCAACACTACACCTCAAACAGTGCAACACTGCACCTCAAACAGTGCAACACTGCACCTCAAACACTGCACCTCAAACAGTGTAACACTGCACCTCAAATACTACAACACTGCACCTCAAACAGTGCAACACTGCACCTCAAACAGTGCACCTAAAACAGTGCAACACTGTACCTCAAACAGTGCAACACTGCACCTCAAACAGTGCATCATTTTGTGGCAAAAGAAAAACTAGGAAACTAAACAGCTGTTCCATCAGCTGAGGCCCTCTGTGTGAGTGAAAACAGCTTAGGCCCTCTGTGTGAGTGAAAACAACTGAGGCCCTCTATGTGAGTGAAAACAACTGAGGCCCTCTATGTGAGTGAAAACAGCTAAGGCCCTCTGTGTGAGGGAAAACAGCTGAGGCCCTCTGTGTGAGTGAAAACAGCTTAGGCCCTCTGTGTGAGTGAAAACAACTGAGGCCCTCTATGTGAGTGAAAACAGCTGAGGCCCTCTGTGTGAGTGAAAACAGCTAAGGCCCTCTGTGTGAGGGAAAACAGCTGAGGCCCTCTGTGTGAGTGAAAACAGCTGAGGCCCTCTGTGTGAGTGAAAACAGCTGAGGCCCTCTGTGTGAGTGAAAACAGCTGAGGATCTCTGTGTGAGTGAAAACAGCTGAGGCCCTCTGTGTGAGTGAAAACAGCTGAGGCCCTCTGTGTGAGTGAAAACAGCTGAGGCCCTCTGTGTGAGTGAAAACAGCTTAGGCCCTCTGTGTGAGTGAAAACAGCTGAGGCCCTCTGTGTGAGTGAAAACAGCTGAGGCCCTCTATGTGAGTGAAAACAGCTAAGGCCCTCTGTGTGAGTGAAAACAGTTGAGGCCCTCTGTGTGAGTGAAAACAGCTAAGGCCCTTTGTATGAGTGAAAATTGCTGAGGCCCTCTGTGTGAGTGAAAACAGCTGAGGCCCTCTGTGTGAGTGAAAACAGTTGAGGCGCTCTGTGAGAGTGAAAACAGCTGAGGCCCTTTGTGTGAGGGAAAACAGCTGAGGCCCTCTGTGTGAGTGAAAACAGCTGAGGCCCTTTGTGTGAGGGAAAACAGCTGAGGCCCTCTGTGTGAGTGAAAACAGCTGAGGCCCTTTGTGTGAGGGAAAACAGCTGAGGCCCTCTGTGTGAGTGAAAACAGCTGAGGCCCTTTGTGTGAGGGAAAACAGCTAAGGATCTCTGTGAGAGTGAAAACAGCTGGGGCACTCTGTGAGAGTGAAAAAAGCTGAGGCGCTCTGTGAGAGTGAAAACAGCTTAGGCCCTCTGTGTGAGTGAAAACAGATTAGGCCCTCTGTGTGAGTGAAAACAGATTAGGCCCTCTGTGTGAGTGAAAACAGATTAGGCCCTCTGTGTGAGTGAAAACAGATTAGGCCCTCTGTGTGAGTGAAAACAGATTAGGCCCTCTGTGTGAGTGAAAACAGATTAGGCCCTCTGTGTGAGTGAAAACAGATTAGGCCCTCTGTGTGAGTGAAAACCGCTGAGGCCCTCTGTGTTGAGGTTTTGCGGCTAGTAGAAACTTCATCTGCCTTATTTCTTTATACAGAGAATAATGAGGTCAGATATAACCCTGTGATTCAATAACTACAGATATTGAGAAAGTCTTACTTAATAATGCCCCTCTTGATTTGATACTGGTGCTCAATCTCTCCCAATAGACATTCAATATCTGCAGGCTTGTTCTATAAAAATATATTCAATAAATTAAAATGAATATATGAGAGACTTTTCTACACTATACACATTATATTATACACAAAGTGGTTCAAGATAGGGACACTAACTCTACTGCTCCTGGTTTGCTACCGCTTGGCAGGGTCTATTTCCACATAGTGGCAGCCTCCCTCTCTGCCTGCCTGCCTGTCTGAATGACTACCTGCCTGCCTGCCTGTCTGTCTGTCTGTCCATCTGTCTGTCTGACTACCTGCCTGTCTACCTGCCTGCCTGTCTGCCTGCCTGTCTGACTGCATTCTTGTCAAGTCAATGACAGCTCCAGCAGTGGCTCTAAGGATCTCCCTAAAGCTGTCCTTGTTGACTGAGGCACTTGATGCTGATATGAACCCACCACCTTCACCGAATACACCGTACACACTGTACACACTGTGAACAGGCCAAATTTTAGTTAGGTGAGAAATCTGCTTCTGATATAAGATCACATATCTTTATATTCTTTGGTAGGTGAGAGTTTCTGACCTAAGCTCACATATCACTAGACACGAGTTAGGTAGGTAGGTAAGAGTTTCTGACCTAAGCTCACATATCACTAGACACAAGTTAGGTAGGTAGGTAAGAGTTTCTGACCTAAGCTCACATATCACTAGACACAAGTTAGGTAGGTAGGTAAGAGTTTCTGACCTAAGCTCACATATCACAAGACACAAGTTAGGTAGGTAGGTAAGAGTTTCTGACCTAAGCTCACATATCACTAGACACAAGTTAGGTAGGTAGGTGAGAGTTTCTGACCTAAGCTCACATATCACTAGACACAAGTTAGGTAGGTAGGTGAGAGTTTCTGACCTAAGCTCACATATCACTAGACACAAGTTAGGTAGGTAGGTGAGAGTTTCTGACCTAAGCTCACATATCACTAGACACGAGTTAGGTAGGTAGGTGAGAGTTTCTGACCTCAGCTCACATATCACTAGACACGAGTTAGGTAGGTAGGTGAGAGTTTCTGACCTAAGCTCACATATCACTAGACACGAGTTAGGTAGGTAGGTGAGAGTTTCTGACCTAAGCTCACATATCACTAGACACGAGTTAGGAAGGTAGGTGAGAGTTTCTGACCTCAGCTCACATATCACTAGACACGAGTTAGGTAGGTAGGTGAGAGTTTCTGACCTAAGCTCACATATCACTAGACACGAGTTAGGTTCGCCATCAAGGGACAGAGCTTGACCCTGTCAGTGATACATATTTCAGATTATAACTGTAAGTGCAATATCTGTCCTAAATTCTATCTCTGATATATGTTCAAGATTATACCTCTGATATATATTCTAGATTATACTTCCAATATATATTCTAGATTATACCTCTAATATATGTTGAAGATTATACCTCTGATATATATTCTAGATTATACTTCCAATATATGTTCTAGATTCTACCTCTGATAAACAGTCTAGATTATGACTTCCTTATACATTGGTATCATACATGATTATGTTTACTAAAAACAGCACCCCAGGGTATAATGGGATCATTACTGCCTCTGTTACATGTAGCTACAGTTGTCATCTGCTGTGTATGTGTTCTGCTGTATTCCATACCAATGTTTGGTCACCTCAATGTTATGAGTTTTGTCAACTGTAATAAACAAAACAAAAGTATTGTTCAGGTGTCCTAGACAAAGTCAGGATCAAAGTCCTAGACAATGTCCTCACCCAAGGTCCACACAAAAGATATAGCTGGGTATACAGGTTGATGTCAGGAGGTGACTGACCCCAAGGTCCACACCAAAGATATAGCTGGGTTCACAGGTTGATGTCTGAAGGTGACTGACCCCAAGGTCCACACCAAAGATATAGCTGGGTTCACAGGTTGATGTCTGAAGGTGACTGACCCCAAGGTCCACACCAAAGATATAGCTGGTTACACAGGTTGATGTCAGGAGGTGACTGACCCCAAGGTTCACTAAAAAGACATAGCTGGTTACACAGGTTGATGTCTAAAGGTGACTGACCCCAAGGTCCACACCAAAGATATAGCTGGTTACACAGGTTGAAGTCTGAAGGTGACTGACCCCAAGGTCCCCACCAAAGATATAGCTGGTTACACAGGTTGATGTCTGAAGGTGACTGACCCCAAGGTCCACACCAAAGATATAGCTGGGTTCACAGGTTGATGTCTGAAGGTGACTGACCCCAAGGTCCACACCAAAGATATATCTGGTTACACAGGTTGATGTCTGAAGGTGACTGACCCCAAGGTCCCCACCAAAGATATAGCTGGTTACACAGGTTGATGTCTTAAGTTGACTGACCTCAAGGTCCACACCAAAGATATAGCTGGGTACACAGGTTGATGTCTGAAGGTGTTTGACCCCAAGGTCCCCACCAAAGATATAGCTGGTTACACAGGTTGATGTCTAAAGGTGACTGACCCCAAGGTCCACACCAAAGATATAGCTGGGTACACAGGTTGATGTCTGAAGGTGACTGACCCCAAGGTTCCCACCAAAGATATAGGTGGGTATACAGGTTGATGTCTGAAGGTGACTCACACATAATTATTTTTACCCACCCAAAATAGCAGGGCGCCCTTTGTAGCTAGACCTTCTTAGCCAGTGAAAGCCGATACCCGGGCTATGCTGATAGAGAATGTGCCATTAAAGTGTACAAATGCCATGCAATTTCTTGAAAACCAAATATTTAGGGGATTGTTTTTTTATTAGTTTAGAAAATTGAGAGGCCATTATTAAAATTTCTTCAGAGTTACTCAGGATATTCTGCAATCCTGCAGACGGGGTCTTTAAAATGTAGGAGCGAGAGAGTTAATGTTTACCTGAGAAGGCTGCATGCTGTTCTGCACTGCTATCTCCAGCAACTTGACAAGCCAGTTTCCATGAGAAAGACTGTTGGATGAGAAGACATGTTTGAGACAGACTTTAGAGAGAAGAAATGTGTGTGACAGACTGTTGGATGAGAAGAAATGTTTGAGACAGATTTTAGATAAGAATAAATGTGTGTGACAGATTGTTGGATGAGAAGAAATGTTTCAGACAGATTGTTGGATGGAAAGGAATGTCTGAGACAGACTTTGGATGAGAAGAAATGTTTTAGTCACACCATTGAATGAGAAGAAATGTTTGAGACCAACTTTGGATGGGAAGGAATGTTTAAGACAGACTTTGGTTGTGAAGGAATGTTTAAGACGGACTTTGGATGTGAAAGAATGTTTGAGACAGACTGTATGAACTAGGCCAAGAAAACAACAAAAGAAATATTTATGATAGGTCAAAGGGGACATGTTTGAATAATTTTGTTGTTTTTGTTTTTTGTTTTTTGGTATCAAGTGCCCAGGTGCAACATGCTGATAGAGGGCATGTGGAAGTGGCCAGATTGCATAATGTTATTTTAAAAAACACAAATATGTTATATGACATATATCAAGCATATTTACTTCTGTCTAAACATTAACTATATTGCATATCAATACATCAACTACACCTGTAGCTGTAGTTAACTATACAGTACAACAATACATCATCTACACCTGTAGCTTACATTAACTATTCAGTACATCATCTACACCTGTAGCTTACATTAACTATTCAGTACATCATCTACACCTGTAGCTAAACATTACCTGTAAGTACATCAATACATCATCTACACCTGTAGCTAAACATTAACTATAAGTACATCAATACATCATCTACACCTGTAGCTAAACATTAACAATACTTCTACCTACAGATCAGTTTACACTTGTACTACATATCACTAAGTTTTTATAAAAATGAAAATACTCACGTGGAAGTCAGTTGATCACTAGGGTCAAAGGTTGTATTCAGTACTTCCTGGCACCATTCTAGAAGCAGTCTCTTACCCTCACCAGCACTTCTGTTTTGGACACTTTCACCTGTATGTGATACAGGCAAAGGCTGCACAATAGGCATCACAGTAAACAGAGAGCACAGAGGCATTACAGTAGACAGAGAGCACATGGTCATTACAGTAAACAAAGAGTACATGGGCATTACCATAAACAGAGAACACAGGGGCATTACAGTAAACAGAGAGTACATGGGCATTACAGTAAGCAGAGAGTAATGGGCATTACATTAAACAGAGAGCACAGGGCATTACAGTAAGCAGACAGCGCAGAGGCATTACAGTAAACAGAGAGTACATGGGCATTACAGTAAACAGAGAACACATTGGCATCTCAGTAAACAGAGAGCACATGGGCATTACAGTAAACAGAGAGCACATGGGCATTACAGTAAACACAGAGCACATGGTCATTACAGTAAACAGAGAGCACATGGTCATTACAGTAAACAGAGAGCACATGGGCATTACAGTAAACAGAGAGCACAAGGCATTACATTAAACAGAGAACACATGGGCATTACAGTAAACAGAGAGAACATGGGCATTACAGTAAACAGAGAGCACATGAGCATTACAGTAAACAGAGAGCACATGGGCATTACAGTAAACAGTGAGATCATGAGCTTTACAGTAAACAGGGTGTACAGGGCATTACAGTAAACAGAGAGTACAGGCATTACAGTAAACAGAGAGCACATGAGCATTACAGTAAACATAGAGCACATGGGCATTACAGTAAACAGAGAGCACATGGGCATTACAGTAAACAGAGAGCACATGGGCATTACAGTGAACAGAGAGCACATGGTCATTACAGTAAACAGAGAGCACATGGGCATTACAGTAAACAGAGAGCACATGGTCATTACAGTAAACAGAGAACACTGAGCATTACAGTAAACAGAGAGCACATGGTCATTACAGTAAACAGAGAGCACATGAGCATTACAGTAAACAGAGAGCACATGAGCATTACAGTAAACAGAGAGCACATGAGCATCACAGTAAACAGAGAGCACATGGGCATTATGGTAAACAGAGATCACATGGTCATTACAGTAAACAGAGAGCACATGAGCATTACAGTAAACAGAGAGTACAGGGCATTACAGTAAACAGAGAGTACAGGGCATTACAGTAAACAGAGAGTACAGGGCATTACAGTAAACAGAGAGCACATGAGCATTACAGTAAACATAGAGCACATGGGCATTACAGTAAATAGAGAGCACATGAGCATTACAGTAAACAGAGAGCACATGGGCATTACAGTGAACAGAGAGCACATGGTCATTACAGTAAACAGAGAGCACATGGGCATTACAGTAAACAGAGAGCACATGGTCATTACAGTAAACAGAGAACACTGAGCATTACAGTAAACAGAGAGCACATGAGCATTACAGTAAACAGAGAGCACATGAGCATTACAGTAAATAGAGAGCATATGAGCATCACAGTAAACAGAAAGCACATGGGCATTACAGTAAACAGAGAGCACATGGTCATTACAGTAAACAGAGAGCACATGAGCATTACAGTAAACAGAGAGCACATGGGCATAACAGTAAACAGAGAGCACATGAGCATCACAGTAAACAGAGAGCACATGGGCATTATGGTAAACAGAAAGCACATGGTCATTACAGTAAACAGAGAGCACATGAGAATTACAGTAAACAGAGAGTACAGGGCATTACAGTAAACAGAGAGTACAGGGCATTACAGTAAACAGAGAGCACATAAGCATTACAGTAAACAGAGAGTACATGGGCATTACAGTAAACAGAGAGCACATAAGCATTACAGTAAACAGACAGTACAGGAGCATTACAGTAAACAGAGAGCACAGGGGCATTACAGTAAACTTCTTCTTCTTCTTCTTCTTCTTCTTCTTCTTCAGCATTCTGAGCCTTTGAGGTTAATTGCTGCAGATATCACCCACCTCCATTCCTCTGTCTGGTTGACTTTCTCTTTCCAGTTGGTGAGCACCAAGTGTTTGCAGGTCTGTCTGGACACTATCCCCCCATCTTCTTCTTGGTCTGCCTAGTGGTCTACGACCATTCATCTCCCCGGTGTATACAGTTTTTAACTTCTCTGTCGTCTGAAATTCTTTCAATATGCCCCAACAATTTCAGTCTATGGAAGTCCCCATGGTGTAACGGCTAGATGCCTGTATGCGGATCAGAAGGTCGTTGGTTTGCTCCCTGGGGAAGCCTGACTTTTTTCCAAAATGACCTTCACTTGGAGGTCAACCTAGCCTTGAGTGGGTACAGGGTGCAGTCCCAGGAAGTAAAGACAGTCAGTGTGATGCTGACCACATCACCTATCTTGTGCCGATTGGTCTATACAAATATAGGTCTAGCCCTATATGCCTTATAAGTCTGAAGGTGTGGAACAGGAACCTTCACTTTACTTTTTTCTACTTATTTCACTCTGTTAGCTCTCGTGATGCCAGTGATCAGTGGTGATTTAAACAGATTATGAATTTTGTTACGGCTTCTCACTCCACATTCTTTGCTGTTGGCATCTTCGATGGGTCCAAAGATTTGTCGTAAGACTCTGTTTCCGAAAACCTGTAATAAGACTTCATCTCGTTTTATTTTCATATTATTGATTTGTATGTGGCCAGAGTTTACATCCTTTCCCTGTCTAGTTATTATAATGTATTCTGTCTTATCTTGATTGATAACTAGTCCCATTTTCTGAGCTGATTCTTTTAAGAGAGTCAGTGTTTTATCAGTCTTTAGTTCATTTTCTCCAAAGATATCAATGTCATCTGCATATTCAAGTATTCTTGTAGATTCTCCTATGGTACACTCTTGTTTCAATTGCCTCATAACTTTCTCCAGGGCCCAGTTGAGAAGAAGTGGGCACAGAGCATCACCTTGCTTTAAACCAGGTGTTATTCAAACAACTTCAGAAAATGTTAAGTCAGACAAACAAATTCTGGAAAGCTCAATCTAAGTAGACAAAAATATTTTTAAACATTTAAAAAGTCAAGTTAGTCAGTCAAACAACCTCATAAAAGGTTACTTTAGACAACTAATTTCAGAAATGGTCAAGTCAGGCAAACAGCTACAGAAAAGGTTCATTGAAGTCAGACAAACAAATACAAGAGAGGGGAGACAACTCTACACCCTGAGTATCTCCATAAAGGATCAAAGCCAAAAAATGGAATGTGTAATTTCTCATTAGCATAGTTTATAAACACCAACCAATGAAATGGATGCCATAATGTAGAATTAGGGCCCATAGAACATCCAAGGTGGCCTTGACATTGCTGCTGATTATATCTGCAATTGTGAATATTTAACAGTTATATTTTTCACATGGGATGATAAAATGGACATATAGCATGGACAAGTAACAAGGACAGAAATTAAAAGAATAAATAATGTGAACAAAGATAACAGGGACAGAGATTACATGGACAGATAGTATGGACAAAGATAACAAGGACAGAGATTACATGGACATATGATTTGGACAGAAATCACACGGACAGAGATAACATGGGCAGATAACACTGACAGAGATAACAAAGTCAAGTACATATACTATCTATGTGACATTTGTCAATGTTCATGTTTACAACTTATCAGGTCAAACACCACCATCAAGTGCCTTGACAATAGAATACCCCCCTCCCCGATCCCCTCTCCATACATGTCTCTATCAAGTTGAAAACAGGTATCACATTATTCAATACTCCACATGAAATAATAATTCAATTATTGCAATGATACATGCAATAGTTAATTGATCAGTTGTGTTGTCCTATGTTCCCTTTGCCTATATCTTGTGGAAGCAAACATGGCCTCACATCTGTGAGATGTGGGCACTTGAAGACAAGATGTCTAACAGATGTGGAAGATGTAGACACTTGAAGACAAGATGTCTGACAGATGTGGAAGATGTGGACACTTAAAGACAAGATATATGACAGATGTGGAAGATGTGGACACTCAAAGGCAAGATGTATGACACAGATATGCAAGACGTTGACACCAAAAGACAAGATGTGTGACAGATGTGGAAGATGTGGACACCTGAAGCCAAGATGTCTGACAGACATTTAAAATGTTGACACCCAAAGACAAGATGTCTGACAGATATGGACACTCAAAAACAAGATTCAGAGATGTGCAAGAAGTGTACAAGTGTACATCCAAAGACAAGATGTTTGACATATGTGCAAGATGTGGACATTGGAAGACAAGAAAATCTGCAAGTCAGCTTTGGTTGAACAATACTAAGGTGCGGGTGAAGTGATCAAAGTGTGAAAATTCTCTCTCTCTCTCTCTCTCTCTCTCTCTCTCTCTCTCTCTCTCTCTCTCTCTCTCTCTCTCTCTCTCTCTCCCTCTCTCTCTCACACACACACAACACACACACAAACAAAGAGAGAAACACATAAACACACACATTACCTTGTGCTTGGAGTGTAACCTTGACCCCATGACCTCTCATATGGTCCAGAGCTGTGTTGATGTAGCTAACTGGTGCATCTTCTTCTGAAGCCTGGATAGACAGAAGAGTCAACAAATATTCAGTGGAGATCTCTCTAGGTTCAACAAAAGACAATAGCGCTGTCTGAGACTGCTCTGATATGAATCCCTGTCTTCCCTAACGTTCAGCAGAGTCGCTAGAACCCTGACTTCGTCACACAGTAATGATGATATGTTCTGCCCCAGCAACACTGCAGCGTCTGTTAGTGTCGGCACATCTGACACCAACCTTATTCATTTACTTCATGTTTGCAAGCTTCCAGATTTTTCCTGAACTAATATGTTTCACTAATTTTTTACTGTGACAGAGACTGGCATGTTGTGACAGAGACTTGTATGTTGTGACAGAGACTGACATGTTGTGACAGAGACTGGCATGTTGTGACAGAGACTGACATGTTGTGACAGAGACTGGCATGTTGTGACAGAGACTGGCATGTTGTGACAGGGACTGGCATGCTGTGACAGAGACTGACATGTTGTGACAGAGACTGGCATGTTGTGACAGAGACTGGCATGTTGTGACAGAGACTGGCATGTTGTGACAGAGACTGGCATGTTGTGTGATTTCGACTGGCATGGGAACGGAACGGTTAGGAGGCTTCATTAGCAGTGAATTGGAACTTTGACTGATGACTATGGTCACATAAGATGGGGAAAGGGGAGGGGAGAATGGACGACCAGGGGAACAGACGATCAGTCATCTAGTTGAAGGTATGACTAGTTGATTAGATGCATTTGCACAAATACAATAAGAAGAACGAACAAACAAACAAACGACCTAACAAACATTTTTTTCAAAGGGTCAAAAAATTGGGCATACAGGCCCGTCTTACATTCGGTCCTTACAAACAGCCGTCTTTCACACTGCAGTTATATTGTATCTATAAGCATGTTAAATTCATATGCAAATTATGAATATCAAAGGGGAAAAACACAAAAGAATGGGTGGTAAAATGACTGCACACACTAGCGCACGCAGACACACACACACACATCCACCCACTCACTTTAAGACATATATATATATATATATACACACCCACATACATTAACACACACACCAACACACCCAAAAACCTCATTCACCCACATACATACCTACCTATTCACTAGTATACACACACACTCCACATACATACACAGACAGACAGACAGATATACACATGCACACACAAACACACCACAGAAACAAACATAGACACACACACAAACACACATATGTGCACAGACATAAACACACACATACATATACATACAGACACCACAAATGCAGACACACATATACACACAAGCAAACACACACATATACATGCACAAACAAAAACAGACGGAGACACACACACAAACACACATAGATACACGCACACAGACACACTCACAGACACACACTCACACATGCGCTTATGCTCACACAACCAGAAAAGTTTCACATCTGCTGAACAATTAGAAAAGACACCGAGCAACTCAAAGTGGTCGAGTGACGAAAGTCATCCAGCGATTTAAGGTGTATCAAGGATAGTGACTCTGCTTTGAAGAAACTTGACATGCCTAATGAAACAAAACAAGATAGTAAGAACAGGTACAATCTGGTCACCAGGTCTCCTTGTGTCGTATAAAAGTCGTTTTGTGTTTTCAAAAAGTTGTCTTGTGTCTTATAAAAGTTGCCCTGCAAAAGTTGCCTTGTGTTTTTGTAAATTCGTCTTGTGTTTTCCTAATGTCTTCTTGTGTTTTTTAAAGTCACCTTGTTTTTTTTTTTTTTAAAATTCGCCTTATGTCCGACTCATTGGGGACAGCCAGTGACAGATTTGTGTCATATATTGATCGAAATAAGATGTCCTAAAGGAGAAAGACGTCGACTGACTTAAGGTGTTTAAATGATAGTAGTCGATCTTACCAAGAAACTTCAGTGACCAACTTGTCAAGACCAGTTAAAGACATGATCCGTCACTTGAGTGACTTATGCTGTACAGTGGAGAAAAACACTGAGTGAGTTCTGGCGTCCCTCTAATAGTGGTTGGTTTACCAGGAATCCTCAGTGACCCACTTGCTTAGACCCGCAAAAAATGTGTGAAGTATCTTCAGTGACATAAGGTGTCTCAATTGAGAAAGATATCGAGCTATTTAATAAGTACCCAATTCAGTGAGCAACGTATGGAAGACATATCATATTTTAAGGAGTTTTGAGTCTAGGGGCTGACTTAGAAAGAAATATTGGTTAACGACTCACGTAAAACCAGTGACCAACTAGAGAAGTACACTGAGCCACTTACCAGGTAACTTTTGTGAACCACTTAAAAAGACCATTGACCCAATTGTGAGGTATAATGTGCCTCGGCTCTTGTAACCATCCTCTAACTAGTTGACTTGATGCCTTGCCAGTCTCACTAAATATTAGCCTCTAACATGGTAACATGACACCAAACTAATTTAATCAAATGTTACTGTTTTGCTATATAAAAAAAAGTCATAGCACCATATGCTACAGTGAATACCCCAAATCAAACTAGCTGTCACATGATATACCCACTTACTTGGCACCTGCTAATAAAATTGTGACATGACACAAACACCTTTTTCCATTTTTTTTTAAAACTCTGTATGAAGTCATGGGACTATATGTAGTGACCCTCAGTGACCTCTAAAACTCCCCATGAAAGTAGCTGACATGTTAACTTGAGCTCCTCATTGAGTTACCAGCTCCTAATATTGTACCTTGACACCCATGTATGCACCATATGTAGTGACCCCCCTATGACCTTAAACCCTAACATGATATGTAGCTGACATAGCAACTTGACTCCCACTCTGAATCTCCAGTAACTAACACTATGACATGACATCTGCTCCTTTACAGTCTTTTTCTCTTCCACCTTGTTCCTCATCAAAGTGTCGAGGGGAGATGAAATGTTCGTTGATGAGCTCTGTCAAGAGCACTATTAAGACTGATGTTCATTTCTGTAAGGCTGTTCTTAATGCCATCACTCCATATTTTCTGAGGTCTTCCACTCGCTCTATACCCGTTGTAACGTTTTAGTGTGGCTCGCTGTGGCAGATAGCGCCAGGGCATTCTTGTTAGGTGTTCAAACCACTTCATTTGTTATTCTTTGATGACCTGTAAGACTGACTTTATTCCTAGCATTCGTGATTTCGCATTCTGTCTTTCCTTGAGACTCCTGCAGCTCTTCTAAGGCATGTCATCTCTGTTGTCACAATTTTACGTTCATTGGAGGATGTAAGTGCCCACGTTTGGCATTGATAGCATAGTGTTGGCTAAAAAAATTATGCTATCTATGCCAAACGTGGACTCCTTTACTGTTCTTTTTTAATTTGTTTCCTTTGTTAACATTTTTAATTTTTTCTTTACATAAGTCACAACACCATATGCTTAGAAGATCCTGATGACTCAGAACCCCACATGAACAGGTCCCGCTATCAAAGGGGTGAAGATGGGCCCAATAACTAACATTGATATTATCTGTCTCAAATAGCTAGCTTTGTCGCGTAAAAATGAACATAGCAAGATTATTCAAATACAAGATTAGTCCCATATTTTGAAATTGTTTCCCTTGTTTGTGTTTTTTATGACTGTAAAGTGATGCAACCTTACCTGTGTTTTGTGGACTTATTGTGTTCACTAAGTACTGTCATTTTTTTTTTTTAATAATTATTGAAAAAATATTTTCTAAGTTACAATATATTCCACTCATTAGTTTCTATTCCTCTTACTTTAATTTAAATACTTGTATGAACAATACCTGTTAATTTTTTTGTTATTTGGACTTTATGTTCACAACCTACTTTATCCGTTATGAGGTTTTCCCCCTTTATGTTCCATGTGGAGGGAAATCCACCAGCTCCAAAGGAGGGTTAGTCATTTTTTCCTCTATATAGTATAGCCTAAAGAGCAATAAACGTCGAAAAAATATATGGATTCATCCTTACTATACTACTGAGGCAAACAAACAAACTTTATTTTCAAAAAGTCACAAATTAGGCAATCAAGCAGACTTTATGAGACTACTGGGTAAAAGATGTGAGACTGCATGCGACTAGAAGAAAGGAAAAGACTACATGTGACTACACGGTAGAAGAGAAGTGACTACATGTGACTACTGGGTAGGAAAGGTGAGACAGCAAGTGAATACTGGGTAGAAGAAAAGAGACTGCATGTGACTACTGAGTAAAAGAGACGAGACTACATGTGACTACTGGGTAGAAAGCGAGAGACTACATGTGACTAATGAGCATAAAAGGAAAGACTACATGTGACTAATGGGTAGAATAAGAGACACTACATGTGACTACTGAGCAGAAGAGGAGAGACTACATGTGACTACTGAGCAGAAGAGGAGAGACTACATGTGACTAATGTGCACAAAAGAAGAGACTACATGTGACTAATGTCTAGAAAAGGAGAGACTACATGTGACTACCGAGCAGAAGGGAATAGAGACTACATGTGACTAATGTGCAGAAGAGGAGAGACTATATGTTACTAATGTGCAGAAAAGGAGAGACTACATGTGACTAATGTGTAGAAAAGGAGAGACTACGTGTGACAACTGAGCAAAAGAGGAGAGACTACATATGATTAATGTGCAGAAACAGAGAGACTACATGTGACTAATGTGCAGAAAAGGAGAGACTACATGTGACTACTGAGCAGAAGAGAAGAGACTACATGTGACTAATGTGGAAAAAAGGAGAGACTATATGTGACTAATGTGCAGAAAAGGAGAGACTACATGTGACTACTGAGCAGAAGAGGAGAGACTACATGTGACTAATGTGCAGAAAAGGAGAGACTACATGTGACTAATGTGCAGAAAAGAAGAAACTACATGTGACTAATGGGCAGAAAAGGAGAGACTGCATGTGACTAATGGGCAGAAAAGGAGAGACTACATGTGACTAATAAGCAGAAAAGGAGAGACTACATGTGACTAATGGGCAGAAAAGGAGAGACTACATGTGACTAATGAACAGAAAAGAAGAGACTGCATGTGACTAATGGGCAGAAGAGGAGAGACTACATGTGACTAATGGGCAGAAAAAGAGAGACTACATGTGACTAATGTTCAGAAAATGAGAAACTGCATGTGACTACTGAGCAAAAGAGGAGAGACTACATGTGCAGAAGAAGAGAGACTACGTGTGACTACTGGGTAAAAGTGCAGAGACTACATGTGGCTACTGGGTAAAAGAGCAGAGACTACATGTGACTACTCGGTAAAAGAGCAGAGATTACATGTGACTACTGGGTAAAAGAGCAGAGACTACATGTGACTACTGGGTAAAAGAGCAGAGACTAAATGTGACTACTGGGTAAAAGAGCAGAGACTACATGTGACTACTGGGTACAAGAGCAGAGATTACATGTGACTACTGGGTAAAAGAGCAGAGATTACATGTGATTACTGCGCAGAAGAAAAGAAACTTCATGTGACTACTGGACAGAAGAGGGGAGACTACGTGGGAATATAGGGTAGTAGAAAGTATATTTCTATAACACATGACGCAGAGTTTACCTTGACTTTCATTACAAGGTTAGCTCCAGGATTAAGGACATCGATGAGCTGACACAAAACCTGTCCTTCCCGCACATCCTCCGCACCATCCACGTGACCACCACTCTCTGACAGCACCGAGTTGACCCAGTGTAAGTAGGTCTGCAACAGCACGAGTATTTCAATGCCAGACAAGTTCAAATGTCAACTGTCAAACCACAAGAGTTTTTAGGATAAATTTGAAGCGTAAGTTTTTTTTTTTTTACTGACAGTTTACATCATTAATCCCAACCAGATGGCACGGAATCAATTATCGCAGTAAAACAGGGCATCAGTCAAAGTGAGATAAGTCACGTCGGCGACTGTCCACACAAGCCGACTGGTCAAGTTTGAGATAAGTCACGACCGTCGCTGTCGGTAAGACTGTGACCTGACGATAAAGAGTATACAGCTGGCCCACGAAGTGTGTCGCTGGGGGCTGGGATGTTGTGCTTGTAAACGAGACGTATAGCAACCGGTCAACCTAGCCACACAGCCCGCCTTCGTCTAGAACTATCAACTGTAGGCTTTTCATGTGGCTAGGGAACAGTGGGAGAAACGATAGCACCAGATACTCGATGACAGGGGTAGAGGAAGTGAGGGAAACAGTTGGAGAAACTATAGCACCATGTACTCGATGACAGGGGTAGAGGAAGTGGGGAAAACGGTGAAACTATAGCATCATGTACTCGATGACAGGGGTAGAGGAAGTGAGGGAAACAGTAGGAGAAACTATAGCACCAGGCACTCGATGGCAGGGGTAGAGGAAATGAGAAAAGGGGAAATAGCTGAATGGTAAAAACATTGAAAGCTTTACTGTGCACCACATCGGCAAGCGAAGCTGCCAGGTGAGTCGATGATGTGCACCCCAATACAGACACATCCGACACTCACAATATAGACACAGCTAACACCCACAATACAGACACGGCTGACACCCACAATATAGACACAGCTGATACCCACAATATAGACACAGCTGATACCCACAATATAGACACAGCTGATACCCACAAAATAGACACAGCTGATACCCACAAAATAGACACAGCGGACACCCACAATATAGACACAGCGGACACCCACAATATAGACACAGCGGACACCCACAATATAGACACAGCGGACACCCACAATATAGACACAGCGGATACCCACAATATAGACACAGCGGATACCCACAATATAGACACAGTGGACACCATCAATATAGACACCGCAGACACCCACAATATAGACACAGCGGACACCCACAATATAGACACAGCTGATACCCACAATATAGACACATCTGATACCCATAGCACAAACAAGATAGACATGGTTGACACCCATTAATTAGACAAAGCTGGCGCTCACAATATAGACATGGGTTTCCATTATACCTACTCGGTGGCTTCTGTGACTGCAGCCACACACACTCACACATACACAGGCGCATAGCCTAAGCACATAAAGCACTGCCATGTCTCCGCAGTTAAACAACGCCTGTGTTGGCACAGACAGCTAAGTTGTCGGCGCCATACCATAAAACAAACCCGCTGCACACATAAATCACCGCGTCCTGGGACGGCTCTCTGCCAAATAATAATGCCCTCGACATAGGTCGCACACCTGCACGTGTGCGTCTTCTTTCAAAGATTGTGTTGAACTCTCAGAGTTAAACTGTGGCGTGAATGTTGGCGATTTCGGTTCATCCATCCACAATCTTCTGTCTCCTGTCTTATAGTCCATGCCATGTGGTGTTGGTAGTCATGTTTGTCCACAATCTTCTGTCTCCTGTCTTATAGTCCATGCCATGTGGTGTTGGTAGTCATGTCTATCCACAACCTTCTGTCTCATGTCTTATAGTCCATGCTATGTGGTGTTGGTAGTCATGTTTGTCCAAAACCTTATGTCTCGTGTCCATGCTATGTGGTGTTGGTAGTCATGTTTGTCCACAACCCTATGTCTCGTGGCCATGCTATGTGGTGTTGGTAGTAATGTTTGTCCACAAACTTATGTCTCATGTCTTGTAGTCCATGCTATGTGGTGTTGGTAGTCATGTTTGTCCACAACCCAATGTCTCGTGTCCATGCTATGTGGTGTTGGTAGTCATGTTTGTCCACAACCTTATGTCTCGTGTCCATGCTATGTGGTGTTGGTAGTCATGTTTGTCCACAACCTTATGTCTCGTGTCCATGCTATGTGGTGTTGGTAGTCATGTTTGTCCACAACCTTATGTACAACCTTATGTCTCGTGTCCATGCTATGTGGTGTTGGTAGTCATGTTTGTCCACAGCCTTATGTCTCATGTCTTGTAGTCCATGCTATGTGGTGTTGGTAGTCATGTTTGTCCACAACCTTATGTCTCATGTTTGTCCTTATGTCCATGCTATGTGGTGTTGGTAGTCATGTTTGTCCACACCTTATGTCCTTATCCATGCTCGTGTCCATGCCATGTGGTGTTGGTAGTCATGTTTGTCCACAACCTTATGTCTCGTGTCCATGCTATGTGGTGTTGGTAGTCATGTTTGTCCACAACCTTATGTCTCGTGTCCATGCTATGTGGTGTAGTCGTGTCCATGCCATGTGGTGTTGGTAGTCATGTTTGTCCACAACCTTATGTCTCGTGTCCATGCTATGTCCATGCTATGTGGTGTTGGTGTGGTGTTGGTAGTCATGTTTGTCCACAACCTTATGTCTCATGTCTTATAGTCCATGCCATGTGGTGTTGGTAGTCATGTTTGTCCACAACCTTATGTCTCATGTCTTATAGTCCATGCTATGTGGTGTTGGTAGTCATGTTTGTCCACAACCTTATGTCTCATGTCTTATGTCCATGCTATGTGGTGTTGGTAGTCATGTTTGTCCACAACCTTATGTCTGTCTCATGTCTAGTATGTCCATGCTATGTGGTGTTGGTAGTCATGTTTGTCCACAACCTTATGTCTCATGTCTTATAGTCCATGCTATGTGGTGTTGGTAGTCATGTTTGTCCACAACCTTATGTCTCATGTCTCGTGTCCATGCCATGTGGTGTTGGTAGTCATGTTTGTCCACAACCTAATGTCTCGTGTCCATGCTATGTGGTGTTGGTAGTCATGTTTGTCCACAACCTTATGTCTCATGTCTCGTGTCCATGCTATGTGGTGTTGGTAGTCATGTTTGTCCACAACCTTATGTCTCATGTCTTGTAGTCCATGCTATGTGGTGTTGGTAGTCATGTTTGTCCACAACCTTATGTCTCATGTCTTGTAGTCCATGCTATGTGGTGTTGGTAGTCATGTTTGTCCACAACCTTATGTCTCATGTCTTATAGTCCATGCTATGTGGTGTTGGTAGTCATGTTTGTCCACAACCTTATGTCTCGTGTCCATGCTATGTGGTGTTGGTAGTCATGTTTGTCCACAACCTTATGTCTCGTGTCCATGCTATGTGGTGTTGGTAGTCATGTTTGTCCACAACCTTATGTCTCATGTCTTGTAGTCCATGCTATGTGGTGTTGGTAGTCATGTTTGTCCACAACCTTATGTTTGTCTCGTAGTCCATGCTATGTCCATGTGTTGGTAGTAGTCATGTTTGTCCACAACCTTATGTCTCGTGTCCATGCTATGTGGTGTTGGTAGTCATGTTTGTCCACAACCTTATGTCTCATGTCTTGTAGTCCATGCTATGTGGTGTTGGTAGTCATGTTTGTCCACAACCTCATTATGTTCATGTCTCGTGTCCATGCTATGTGGTGTTGGTAGTCATGTTTGTCCACAACCTTATGTCTCATGTCTTGTAGTCCATGCTATGTGGTGTTGGTAGTCATGTTTGTCCACAACCTTATGTCTCATGTCTCGTAGTCCATGCTATGTGGTGTTGGTAGTCATGTTTGTCCACAACCTTATGTCTCATGTCTTGTAGTCCATGCTATGTGGTGTTGGTAGTCATGTTTGTCCACAACCTTCTGTCTCATGTCTTATAGTCCATGCTATGTGGTGTTGGTAGTCATGTTTGTCCACAACCTTCTGTCTCATGTCTCGTGTCCATGCTATGTGGTGTTGGTAGTCATGTTTGTCCACAACCTTATGTCTCATGTCTTGTAGTCCATGCTATGTGGTGTTGGTAGTCATGTTTGTCCACAACCTTCTGTCTCATGTCAATAGTCCATGCTATGTGGTGTTGGTAGTCATGTTTGTCCACAACCTTCTGTCCTCATGTCTTATAGTCCATGCTATGTGGTGTTGGTAGTCATGTTTGTCCACAACCTTATGTCTCATGTCTTATAGTCCATGCTATGTGGTGTTGGTAGTCATGTTTGTCCACAACCTTATGTCTCATGTCTTATAGTCCATGCTATGTGGTGTTGGTAGTCATGTTTGTCCACAACCTTCTGTCTCATGTCTTATAGTCCATGCTATGTGGTGTTGGTAGTCATGTTTGTCCACAACCTTATGTCTCATGTCTTATAGTCCATGCTATGTGGTGTTGGTAGTCATGTTTGTCCACAACCTTATGTCTCATGTCTTATAGTCCATGCTATGTGGTGTTGGTAGTCATGTTTGTCCACAACCTTATGTCTCATGTCTTATAGTCCATGCTATGTGGTGTTGGTAGTCATGTTTGTCCACAACCTTATGTCTCATGTCTTGTAGTCCATGCTATGTGGTGTTGGTAGTCATGTTTGTCCACAACCTTATGTCTCATGTCTTGTAGTCCATGCTATGTGGTGTTGGTAGTCATGTTTGTCCACAACCTTATGTCTCGTGTCCATGCTATGTGGTGTTGGTAGTCATGTTTGTCCACAACCTTATGTCTCATGTCTTGTAGTCCATGCTATGTGGTGTTGGTAGTCATGTTTGTCCACAACCTTATGTCTCATGTCTTATAGTCCATGCTATGTGGTGTTGGTAGTCATGTTTGTCCACAACCTTATGTCTCATGTCTTATAGTCCATGCTATGTGGTGTTGGTAGTCATGTTTGTCCACAACCTTATGTCTCGTGTCCATGCTATGTGGTGTTGGTAGTCATGTTTGTCCACAACCTTATGTCTCATGTCTTATAGTCCATGCTATGTGGTGTTGGTAGTCATGTTTGTCCACAACCTTATGTCTCATGTCTTATAGTCCATGCTATGTGGTGTTGGTAGTCATGTTTGTCCACAACCTTATGTCTCATGTCTTGTAGTCCATGCTATGTGGTGTTGGTAGTCATGTTTGTCCACAACCTTATGTCTCATGTCTCGTGTCCATGCTATGTGGTGTTGGTAGTCATGTTTGTCCACAGCCTTCTGTTTCATGTCTTATAGTCCATGCTATGTGGTGTTGGTAGTCATGTTTGTCCACAACCTTCAGTCCCCTGTCTTATAGTCCATGCTATGTGGTGTTGGTAGTCATGTTTGTCCACAACCTTATGTCTCGTGTCCATGCTATGTGGTGTTGGTAGTCATGTTTGTCCACAACCCTATGTCTCATGTCTCGTGTCCATGCTATGTGGTGTTGGTAGTCATGTTTGTCCACAACCTTATGTCTCATGTCAATAGTCCATGCTATGTGGTGTTGGTAGTCATGTTTGTCCACAACCTTATGTCTCATGTCTTATAGTCCATGCTATGTGGTGTTGGTAGTCATGTTTGTCCACAACCTTATGTCTCATGTCTTATAGTCCATGCTATGTGGTGTTTGTAGTCATGTTTGTCCACAACCTTATGTCTCATGTCTTGTAGTCCATGCTATGTGGTGTTGGTAGTCATGTTTGTCCACAACCTTCTGTCTCCTGTCTTATAGTCCATGCCATGTGGTGTTGGTAGTCATGTCTATCCACAACCTTCTGTCTCATGTCTTATAGTCCATGCTATGTGGTGTTGGTAGTCATGTTTGTCCACAACCTTATGTCTCGTGTCCATGCTATGTGGTGTTGGTAGTCATGTTTGTCCACAACCCAATGTCTCGTGTCCATGCTATGTGGTGTTGGTAGTCATGTTTGTTCACAACCTTATGTCTCATGTCTTGTAGTCCATGCTATGTGGTGTTGGTAGTCATGTTTGTCCACAACCTTATGTCTAATGTCTTGTAGTCCATGCTATGTGGTGTTGGTAGTCATGTTTGTCCACAACCTTATGTCTCGTGTCCATGCTATGTGGTGTTGGTAGTCATGTTTGTCCACAACCTCATGTCTCGTGTCCATGCTATGTGGTGTTGGTAGCCATGTTTGTCCACAACCTTCAGTCCCATGTCTTATAGTCCATACTATGTGGTGTTGGTAGTCATGTTTGTCCACAACCTTATGTCTCATGTCTTATAGTCCATGCTATGTGGTGTTGGTAGTCATGTTTGTCCACAACCCTATGTCTCG